CCCTTTTTCACTGTGTAGCCTCAGCTAGCCTGGAATTCTGAATTTACCTCTGTGTCCTGGGATTAAAGGGTGCACACAAACTCTTAATTTAATCTTAACAAGTTAATTTTTGTATCTGAGCTAAGTGATTTTTTTCTACCTCTCAGATCATCACGACAGTCTCCCACGTTATCTTTTGAAGCTCTATAACTGGGTTAGCTTTCTGTCGCCCTGACAAACTGCTCGAGAAAGTCATCTTAGAAACTCTAGCTTAGCTGAGAGTGCTTGCCTAGCATGTTTGAAGCCCTAGGTTTGACACTTAACACTTCACAGACCAATCCTGATGGCACATGCCTGTAATTCTAGTCATCGGGAGGTGGAGACCGAAGGGTCAGAAGGTTAAGGGCATCCTCAGCACAAACATAAAGTGTGAGGCCAGCCTGGGAAACATGATGCTATCCTTAAATGTTGTTTTGTTTTTGTTGTTGTTTTTCAAGACAAGGTTTCTCTGTGTAGCCCTGGCTGTCCTGGAACTCTCTCTGTAGACCACCACCTCCCAGCCCATATAGTTGTTTTTGTCTATATTGCATGTCCCTTCCCATAATGCATCTGATTTTAATTATATGCATGCCCACTCATGCATAGGCATAAGATGGTAAATAGGAGAGTCTCCTTAAAAAAATCACTTAAGGATATAGTTTTGCCCTATATGTGCACCCAAAACTAGTTCAGGCCAGATAGGCCTTTCTGGTCTTTTTTTTTTTTTTTTTTTTTTTTTGGTTTTTCGAGACAGAGTTTCTCTGTGTAGCTTTGCGCCTTTCCTGGATCTCGCGCTGTAGCCCAGGCTGGCCTCGAACTCACAGAGATCCGCCTGCCTCTGCCTCCCGAGTGCTGGGATTAAAGGCGTGTGCCACCACCGCCCGGCCCTTTCTGGTCTTGTACCTAGACATAAAGAGAATAGGACAGAGCCAGGCAGTGGTGGCACACACCTTTAATCCCAGCACTCAGGAGGCAGAGGCAGGCAGATCTCTGAGTTCAAGGCCAGTGTGGTCTATAGAACAAGTTTCAGGATAGCCAGGGTCACACAGAGAAATCCCATCTTGGGAGAAAAAAAAAAAGACAAGACAGGGTGTCACCGTGTAGTCCTGGCAGGCCTGGAACTCCCAGTATAGCCAGGTTGGCCCTGGACTGAGATCCACCTGCCTCTTCCTCCAGAGTGCTGGGATTAAAGGCCTGAGCCACCATGCCTGGCTCTCTTTCTTTTCTCTCTTTAGATTCATTTTGACTTGTGTATATGCATGTGGGTATGTGAACATGGGTGCACATGCCTGCAGAGGCCAGAGGTGTGAGATCTCCCTGGGGCTGGAGTTACAGCTAGTTGTGAGCCTTTCAGTATGGATGCTTGAAACCCAACTTGGGTCCTCTGCAAGAGCAGTAAGAACTCTTAAACACAGGGCCATCTCTCTATCCCCTTTCTTTATCTTGTATGTGGATAGCTGGGTATCCAGCCCAGGTCCCCACAAGTGTTCTACCACTGAGCTACACCCCAAGTTTCCCTGAATCTTTATGTCCGGTAGTGTGGAGAAGTCTCTGGGTTCATGAGTCTTTCACGTTGGCTGCTGGGCAGTCTGCTGATTCAGAGTCTGAGGTTTCTGCAGGGCGGAAGCTGATTGATGCCCCCTCGACAAGAGTAGCGCTGACAAGGGTTCTCAGTGTCTTATCACAGGAAGCACATGATGCCGGTCTGTCCTGCAGATGGTGGTACCAAGTGTGGCGCTGGCGTGGCATCTGCTGCATGCTTGCTGTGAAGTGAGCCTTGCACAGACGGCAGAAAGGGAACTGCCCAAACTGCAGCACTGCTCCTAGCAGGTTCTGACCTCTGTCCCTGGAATGACCTACCCCACTAGAGCTGATGTCTGCATGAAGGTGGAGGTCGGGAGAGTCCCCACGGCATCTGAACATGGGGCTTCTTGACTTCCCTGTCTTTCACCTTTTATTTGATCGTTTCCTGGGTCAGGGTCTCACATAGTCCCAGTTAGCCTCAGATTTGCCGGAATCCTCCTGCCTCAGCCTCTCATATGCTGCGTCCCTAAGAGGACAGAGGTGGAGTTGTGCCTCGCTCACATTTGGTACTCTTTAGTCTGTCTACTTCCCCTCCTAAGGCTCAGGCTCAACTTCTCCCATTGGGCTCTTTTCTTGGCATGAGAAACTCAAAGGACCAGGCGAAACTGTCACCTAAAGTTACTTTTACTTTTTAAAACCCAGTGTCTTTTATTATTGTTTATGCCATCATGCCATCAACCCAGCGAATGAAGCAGGCTGGCTGAAGCTGGACAGACATCTTTCTCTTTGGTTTCCTACTTTTCTGACCAGTTCAGGAAGCTGTCTGGGCTCTTAGAATGTTGCTGTTATTGTGTGTGCATGTAGTTATAATGTGGGTGCTTGTGCAGCTCAGAGGACAGCTTTGAGGGACCAGTGCTCTCCTACCTTTGCATGGGTTCTGGGGATGGAACTCAGATTGTCAGGTTTGCTGGCAAGTGTCTTTATCTGATAGGCTGTCCCACTGGCCCCTACTTCTGTGTTTGAGACAGAATCTTGCTATGCAGCCTTGGCTGGCCTGGAACTTGACATGTAGACCAAGCGGGCCTTGAACTTACAGCTACGCTCCTGCCGCTGCTTCCTGGATGTTAAGAGCTCACAGCCTGTGTCATCATGTTCCTCTCTTAGAATGCTTTAATACATGCTTTAATACATGCTTGGTACACATGTATTCTCTTGGTCAGAACTGACTTGATGCCGGGTGTTCTAATGAAAATGTTCTATGACTGACTGGACGATGGCTCCACAGCTCTATGAGTATACCAAAATACCCACTGGACTGGGTATCTAAAATGGGTGAATGAACCAGCTGGGCAGTGGTGGCTTATACTTCTAATCCCAGCACTCAGGAGGCAGAGGCAGGCGGCTCTCTGAGTTTGAAGCCAGCTTGGTTTACAGAGTGAGTTCCAGGAAAGCCAGGGCTCCATAGAGAAACCCTGTCTAGAAAAACAAAACAAGGGGCTGGAGGGATGACTCAGTCGTTAAGAGCACTGGCTGCTCTTCCTGAGGATCCAAGTTCTAGTCCCAGCATCCACATTGCAGCCCACAATTGTCTGTAACTCCAGTTTCAGGGATCTCCTCACACAGACAAATGTGCCAGCAAAACACCAATGCACATAAAAGAAAAATAAAGACAAAACAAAACAGAATTGACTTGTCTGCAGCAATGTCAAGAACACGCTGGGTAACATCGTGGCTCTTTCAGGGGACATCTCTTTGAATGACACCTCTGCCCGTAGTGTCCCCAGTACCCACCTTCCTGTAGCTCAGCACGTGTGTGACCGAAGGAACAACCTCAGCTTTAGTTTTGGTTTTGTAAAATCATTTAAGACCTTTATTAAAAGTGATTTAAAAAAAAAAGTCAAGTTGTAAACTTTTGCTAGAAATTAAAAATGGAGTTCTTAAAAAAAAAAATCACATCTTGACCAGATATGAAGTGATTTTAAAAACATTTAAAAATGATTTGAGAAAAGTTGTGCCTTAAAAAATATGTTTATTGGCCGGGCGGTGGTGGCGCAAGCCTTTAATCCCAGCACTCGGGAGGCAGAGTCAGGCGGATCTCTCTGAGTTCGAGGCCAGCCTGGACTACCAAGTGAGTTCCAGGAAAAGGCACAAAGCTACACAGAGAAACCCTGTCTCGAAAAACCAAAAAACAAAACAAAACAAAAAAATATGTTTATTGGCTGGGCACCTGCTTTAAGGCCAGCACTCAGGAGGCAGAGAAAGGAGGATGTCTGTGAGTTCAAGGCCAGCCAGGGGTACACACCCTGTCTCAAAATAAAACGTTTATCATTTATGCTGGCTACTTTTTGCCAGTTTGACACCAACTAGAGTTACCTGAGAAAAAGGAACCTCAATTGAAAAAGTGATCTGTAGGCAAGCCTGTGGGGCATTTTCTTGATTAATGATTGATGTGGAGGGCCCAGCCCACTGTGGGTGGTGCCACCACAACACAGGTGGTCCTGGGTTGTATAAGCAAGCAAACTGACGAAGCCAGTAAACAAGGTTCCTGCGTGGGTGTGCTTCAGTTCCTGTCCTCAGGTTCCTGCCCTGATGTCCTTGTGGTGGTGTTACAACCTGGGACTTGTAAGTTGAGATCAACCTTTTCCTCTCTGTATTGTGTCTGGTCACAGTGTTCATCACAGTAACAGGACCTTGGTCAAAGGAACATGGGATGTTGCTGTGAGGGACCTGCCCTCCTAAACCTTGGACTGTTCATTGGGGGAAGGTGGAGGCTTTTGGAGCTTTGAACTGGAAAAGCCACTGAATGCTCAGAGCTGGAAGAGCTGTTGTGGGAACTTGGAAGGTAATGCTGAGAGCAGTGTGCAGTGGGGCCCGGTTTGTGAGGCTTTAGACCAGTGGTCCTCAACCCTCCTGATGATGCAACCCTTTAATACAGTTCCTCATGCTGAGGTGACCCCAACCATAAAATTATTCTCATCGCTACTTCCTAACTGTCAGTTTGCTACTGTTATAAATTTAATGTAAATACCTTTTTTGGAGATAAAGGTTTATAAAAGGGTTGCGACCCACAGGTTGAGAACCTCTGTTTTGGAGCAAGCAGAGCTCTACAGGAACTGTTCCTATTCGTGTAATATTTGGGATTAAGAGTCTGTGGAAATGAAACCTTTGCCTCACTGGGACAATGGATACTGCATTAATCAGCTGGGATTAAGAAAAGACCAGCATCATTGAGGCAAAATCATCTGGGGAGTATTTCCTGAGGGTCGGTTGTGGCGCAGTTGAGGTAAGGGAGGGCAAGACTGCATCTCAAGCCGGAAGCAGAATTAGGAATGTGTAAGAGTCTCCCTCATGCTACTGGTTTTGAGGGCACAAAGGAGTTGTGAAATGAATGATAAACGGCGCTGGTTATGGTGCGGGTTACCGGCGGAAAGGTCATAGTCACGACAGAACCCAGTTGCTTAGTAGCACAGAGCTTTATTAGGAGGAAGGGGAGGAGGGATAAAAGGACCAGGCCTGGGGAGGAAAGAGAGAGAAAGATGGTGGGGTGGGGTGGGGGGTAGAGAGCAGAGCAGAGAGAGATGGGGGGGCCTGCACCCGGCTTTTAAGGGCTCCCGGGATGGAGCTACACCACGCATGCGCTGATTGCGTGGCCATGCCTCATGCATGTAGTCGCCAGCACACACTAATGATGTAAGACGCATGCAGCTGGAGTGAGGGCAGAATTCTAACATTCCAGACTTATTGCTTATTATAAAAAAGCAAGTGAACAGGAATAGGGGCATCATTTCTCCCAGAAAAACTGCTTCCAGCTGACTTGGTGGGCGTCGGTTGGCTCAGTGGGGTAGACGTCCTGGGATGGTGAGCTGTCCTGCTGCTTGGGAGCTGTTCATCCCTCTTGGCCTGGTACTCTGGCCACTTTTGTGTCTGACAGGATGCTGGTGAGACAGAGAAGGCTTAGGAAAAAAGAATCATTATTATTTTTATTTTCTTTGGAGTGTTCCCAGACCAGGGAGTTTGTGTTTGGCACTTATCTGAAGTAGATCTGACCTGTCCAGATGGATTTAAGCTGGTTTTTGGAGCTTGGGAAAAATTTTGAACATGTTAAGCAGCCATGAGAAGATTAGTGACCATTGTAGTGTTTAGTACTCTGCTTGTATTGGTTAGTGTTAATGGGGAGACAGAGAGATTGGAACATGTTAAGCTTTATCAGAGACAGATTATTTTGAGGCACCTGTTTCTTTTACTAGTTTAGCATCCAGGAGACACAGGTGATCAATTGTTGAGAGCATTTAACAGTGATAGACTGTTACATTAGAGTCTGTTTTTGCAGAGCCCAGACACTTTTGGGTCTGGGGGTGTAAATAGCTTTTAGCTGTTACAGTTTCTTACTTGATGATCCCTGGACTCCAGTTCTGTGGTGGTCCTATACCATTAGCAGAGCAGTTAATTAGAAGAGGGACCCAGGAAGAGAAAAGCTTGTGGTGCATGAGAACTTGTTCTTTTGGAATTAGGGACAGGGCAGAGATCAGGGCTCTGTCTGTGTCCCTGTGCATGGGAAGCCCTGCTGACAGGTCTGGAGTGAGGCACACGGAGGGAGCAATGAAATGAAAGCTCCTGCCTTAGCTGGAAAATCTTTTCCCATTAAGTAACCCTGAGAGTACAATTAAGTCTGGTGAGGTGGGTAAGACTGTCCTCCCTACCCTGACAATAGGGAAATGAGGAGAGGTGAGACCCCAAAACTCTCAGGACTGGGTGAGTGGCTCTGGTGTCCAGAAGGAAAGAAACGGATCACTTCCCTGCTGCGTTCTAGGTTCCCTGCAAGAGAGCCTGTGGCCAAGCCTAGGTCTGCTGGAGGTCTTAGCTTGATGCTCCCATGCCCCTTGGTGCCTGGGTGCAGTCAGCTGACTGGTTGTCTCTCTAGGTGGCACTTTGAACAAGGCTCAGTTGAAGGCCTGGCAGGGCACGCACTAGCTCGTGTGACCTCCCCCCGCCCCCACTTAAAACGGACCCAGCGGCTTTTGGGAGCCAGTCAGACAGTGTGTGCCAGCACTTGGCAATTTTGTTCTCAGGCTTTTTCATCTCTCCTGGTACACCTTAAATGCCACAGCTGAAACTTGTGCCTGTGGGGTCAGGAGCCTTGCTCTCCAGATGCCTAAGTTTTAGCCCTTATGTTGGGGAGGTCTGGGAGATAAGAGACAGATTTTATTCTGTGTCTTGAAAAAAAAATTTTTTTTGATGTCTGCTGGCTTGAGGACAGCTTTAGGAAGACCCACCAGGAGGCAGGCTATAAACTGATCTCTGGCTAAAGAGCCATCTGATTGTTATAATCCCCATGTGGGTCCTGATCATAAATTTATTTGCATGCATCCTAGCCTGCTTTCAGACCGGTCTGTGCTCCTCAGGGCAGCTTGAGAACGAGTGGGAGGAGTTAAGGTGAGTTAAGGTGAGAGCCAGGGTTGGGCAGAATCGGCCCGCCCAATACTGGACAGTGGAGAGCAGAGCACAGAGCGGAGAACAGATAAGATATGGTTCTTTGGAGTCAGAGATTCCTTAGGTTTGGGAATGCATGTGGTCAGGAGAGAGAGAGAGTCAGAAAGGGAGAGGAGCTTTAGAGCTTGGGTAAAAGCATGGGGATAAGGTAACCCTTTTCATTTGCCCATTTGCTGGCAGAAGTTAGATAATTCCCGTGAAATATCAGAGTTCAAGCAGCCGTTATGAGGCCAAATTTACTGGTATCTAGGGATATTTAAGGCATTTGTCAGAGGAGGGATGGAACCACGAGAAGGAAGCCCCTATGTCCCATGGCTGCAGCGCCGAGAGAGAAAAATTAAAGAAACAGGATCAGACTCCAGTTCCAGGCGTGCCCGAGGTTGGAGAAGAATCTATGAATCAGCACAGGTTACTCCCCGCTTCATCAAGAGAGGAGTAAGGGCTGGGAGTGTACACAGCACAAGGACCTCCCCCCCAAACTCACCAATCTGGTTGGCAGGTGTGGTGTGCGGGTCTGGCGGCTAGGCAAATGAGAAAAGTGGAGTGGGCAGTCACAAGTCCGATGAACCTCAGTATAGGTTTCCAGCACTCAGCTCCGGAGGCAGAGCGGGCGGAATGTCCTATCCGAGTCTCGGTGGCACCAATGAAATGAATGATAAGCGACACTGGTTACCGGCAGAAAGGTCATGGTCACGACAGAACCCGGTTGCTTAGTAGCGGAGAGCTTTATTAGGAGGAAGGGGAGGAGGGACAAAAGGACCACGCTTGCGGGGGAAAGAGAGAGAGAGATGGTGGGGGGAGAGGGAGCAGAACAGAGAGAGGGTGGGGTCTGCGTCCAGCTTTTAAGGGCTCCCGGTACAGACCTACAGCACACATGCGCTGATTGTGTGACGCGTGTAGTCGCCAGTGCACACTGATGACGTAAGATACATGTAGCTGGAGTGAGGGCAGAATTCAGAATTCTAACAGGTTGTCTTAGCTACTTTTTTTTTTTTTTTTTTTTTTTTTTTTTGAGACAGTGTCTCACTATATAGCCCTGGCTGTCCCTCTGTAGACCAGGCTGGCCTCGAACTCACAGATTCTCCTGCTCCTGCCTCTTGAGTGTTTGGGTTTTTTCAAAAGTTGTACTATGTTTATTGTTAACATTAACATGATCTTGGTACCAGCAAGAAAAGAAACATATGGGCTAACAGTGATGCTTTGTACGTGATGTTGACAAGGGGTAAACTTGGTTAATTTTGTCAACTTGATAAAAACTAGAGTCACCTGGGAGGTAGTAGACTCCATCAGACTAACCGGTGGACGTGTGTGTGGAGCATTTTCTTGTTAAAGATTGACACCAGAGGGCCCAGCCTACTGTGTAGCATGCCACCCCTGGGCAGGTGGTCCTGGGGTGAATAAGTAAAGGTGGGCAAGCCACGGTGGAGGAAGCCGAGTTCCTCCATGACATCTGTACCACTTCCTGCCCTGAGCTCCTTCCCTGATTTCTCTGTTTGGTGCAGTGGGACTTGAGAGTTGTACGGTGAAATAAACCCCTTCCTCTCCAAGGTGCCCTTGGCCATGGTGTTTATCACAGCCACAGGAAAGCAAACAGAGCATCATTATCAAGCAGACATGTCTTTGCGTAAAAATGATAAAAACCCCACGCTGTGTGACGGTGTGGATAGCTCTAGCGTACCTGGTCAACGGGCAAAAAGCAAGCCCGGAGGCTTTCTGTCCCGATCTCTCATTTCCTACAGCTGGGATTGCACACTCATTTCTACACGGAGGGCTAAACCAAATGATGGCTGAGATGTGGAGCCAGCCTTTGCTCAGCCTTGCCCTGCTCAGCCTCGGGAGGGGTCAGATTCTCAGCTAGTTGTCTCTGCCATCCTTTGGTTTGGGGTGCCCTGGGCATCTGTGTAGGCAGCTGAAGTTGTTAATACTGATGTTGAGGTGGCTGTTGACCTTGGGCTCTGACTTTCCTTGCCATCCTTTTTAGGTTCTTTGGCAAGGAAGGCTATGTGGAATTGGTCTATCACCGTCTACACATGGTCTCTCTCACTGGTCTAACCTCATGTCCTGCACTGGGGCTGTTAGCGGCCTCCATCACTCTTCCCAGCACAGAAAGCTGGAAACCGGTCTGCTCAGTCTTCTATAGATTAAGGTGGGAACTTTCCCCTGCAGTAGGGCCGACCTTGTTGGGTCTGGCCTTCAGGAGTGCTCTGCCACCCCCACCCCCACACCGTTGGGGTAGTCCCGCTGGTTATTGTGTGAAGAACCCCTAGGAAGCAGATAGTGTCAAGAGTGGTTCCCTTTGCTGTGCATTTACTGCTGTGGACTGTCCCTCCACCAGGGCTGCCTCTGAATCCATTTCCACCTCAGCATTGACCACCACAGTGACTCCAAACTTTGGAGTACTTCCAGGGGCTGTCTGTTCTTTGTTGTTGATTTTTAGACAGGGTTTCACTGCGTAGTCTAGGCTGGCCTGAAACTTGCCGAGATCCACCTGCCTGTGCCTCCTGAGTTCTAGGATTAAAGGGGAGTGCCTTCATGTGTGGCCTCCCTATCTACTGCTTACATCAAACCGTTCTACTGTTCACAAAACCTTGATTGAGATAACCTTTTTGTTCCTGTCACGGGCGCACTGTAGACTTCAGGCCACCTGGGCCAGTGCTGCTTGCGGTACTAGGCTTCGGATTAGAGCTGGTATGAGCTGGTGGCTACTGGGTGTCAGTTTTGCCACTCATGGAGGGGATGATAGTGCTGTGGTAGCTGCTGCTCTTCCAGGGTTGCCAAGGTAACCGGGTCAGCAGGCTCCAGCTTCTGCAGGCTCTCTGGGATTCTCTCTCCATTTCTGTTATTGATCCAATGCCATCTTTCTGTCTGCAGATTTGTTTAGCCTCCCATGTATGTACACCATGTGCATGCCAGATGCCCCCAGAATCAGGAGTGTTGGACCCCTAGAGCTGGAGTTACAGGTGATTGTGAGCTGCCATGTTGGTGCTGGGAACTGAAACCAGGTTCTCTGGAAGAGCAGCCAGTGCCCTTAACCACCAAGCCGACTGCCCACTTCCCATCTTTTCTTTGTAAATTCATCCCTTCCACCTCTTCCTTTTCTTCCTTCTTTTCTTCCCTCCCTCCCTCCCTCTCATTCCTTTGTGCTCTCTCAAACTGGCCTTGAAATACTGGGCTCACACGAGCCTTTTCCTCAGCCTTTTTTGAGTGCTAGAGTCTAGACATACGACACACTGCTCATACTCCACTTTTTTTTTAAACTTTATGACATTTATTATTGTACACATGGCCAGCTCAGCAACGGCAACATGCAAAGCCTCCATGCTTTCCTTCAGGATGCGGTGACACCTATGAGCTGCACTTGCGTCAGCACCAAGCATCGTGAGAAGGCAGTGCTGTGTGTGGGTGGACTGGGAAAACACCCAAATTCAGATTCTGAAGCAGCTGCTCCTGACCACACATCGAATCCCCACTGTGGAGAAGTGGAGCGATCACAAACTGAGCATCTTCGACGGGGCTGGCTGTAGGTAGCCTGGGCTGTGCTCCTGTCCACTGACATCTCCCTAGCCCTCCATAGGTCAGGAACTGCTGGCTGCCCCTCCAGCCTGGACACTTAGGAGCACGCCAATGTACTTGAGTTCGCTTCTTTTTTTTTTTTTTTTTTTGGTTTTTTTGAGACAGGGTTTCTCTGTGTAACTTTGCGCCTTTTTCCTGGAACTCACTTGGTAGCCCAGGCTGGCCTCGAACTCACAGAGATCCTCCTGGCTCTGCCTCCCGAGTGCTGGGATTAAAGGCGTGCGCCACCACCGCCCGGCGCCGCTTCTTGTTTTTGAGACAAGGTCTCACTCTATAGCCCAGGCTGACCTGGAACTTGAGGTGATTCTTCTGTCTCAACCTCCCATGGGCTTATAATTGACCCGGTCTGGCTTCTGGGAGGTCTTGAGCTGCCTCCTGACCCTATTTCTTCAAGATCCTTAATCTTCATTGCTATCAGGGCACCTCTTCTACTGGCAGGCTGGCCCTAGGAGGAACACACAGCTTCACAGAGAGGCCTGGGCTGGCTTCCCACGCATGCTTTTTCTTTCTGGTAAATGGAATGTGCTCTGAGGCCTACTGGATGTATCTGGCTGGTGAGCTGGGGCCCACCAATCACAGAGCACTCCATCCCTGAATAATTGCGCCTATAGATGTCTGCTCCCTCTCCCCAACCATCTGACAGTTACTTCTGCATTGTGACTTCCCTTAGTGAGGATGGTGGCTTCCTCAAAGCTTCCAAGAGCCAAGCCTGTTGATACTGCTTGCTGGGGGTTCTGCCAAGGTGGCAAGTCCTGTATCACAGCAGAGGGCTATGCTACTAAGCTCTCCCTGCCCCCAATCCAGCACTGACAGTCCTTTGGACTAGCTCCTACAGGCAATGCCCTGCAGTGCCTTAGCATGCTGCCCCTTCCTGTTTAACATGCACCGGCATCCTTAGTTCATTTTCTGTTCCTATAAAAAAATACTAGTGGCTGAGTTTATTATCTGGGCACAGTGGTGTGTCTAATTTCAGCACCCAGGAGGCTGAAGTGGGAGGATCATTCTTACGGGCTATCAGGAAGGCCTTTGGAGATTCATCTTTTCCAGTGTGCCATTGCTAGCCACCAGCCCCAGCGTTTCGTGCCCACTTCCGTTGACTACCTGGAGTGTGCTCTTTTCCATGTCTTGGTCTGACCACAGTGAAAGGGACTGTTCTTTTGCAGCATGCCAGTGGCTCTACCTATCTTCACTGCCACCATCGAGGGAGCCTCCAACAGACAGAGGAAGAGAGCAAAGTTCAATCAGGGAAATTGGCACCTGTCAAATGTCCCTTGCTAGTCCACCCCACGGAAGTCCAACACACTGGTGGTTTCCATACTAGTAAAATATTTTTATTATTTTTATAACACAAGGAAAGTAAAGACTTCTTTTTGGTGTATACCAGAGCTAAGGGAAGCAGAATAAGGGGATTAATAGGACTTTTATGCACTTTTGATGACCATAAAAAGTTAACAATACCAACTGCTTGCCATAAAACTTACCATAGCTCCAAACACATATAAAGGATCAGTTTTAAAATCTATAAAAGTAAAAAATATACAGTTGGACGCTCTAACACTTATTTCATCTTCAATATAAAATTGTAAACATTTATTTACACAAAGCACATGTGTAGAAGAAAGTCCGAGCACCCTTTTCTGCTTGAGGCATGGCTCTGAGAAGATGGGATGTGGGAGGAAGTGGGGTCACCTCTTCCCAACTCCTCAAAGCCAGACTCATAAATAAAGCCGTGGGCAGCTCTGAGGGGACCCCCAAGAATCACATTTTATTGCTATGACACTGCAGCAAGGGAGCCGCCCACTGCCCGTGTGGCCAACCTGGGCCTAAGGTAGAGTGGGGGCTGGCTGGCGTGCCCTGGGCAATGGGGGCAGGAGGTGGGCAGCTGTCGCAGGAGGCTGGAAGAGGAACCAGGATCCGGCTCCAGCCCTCGGCCATGTTTTTGGTAGAGAACCTGCTGAAGTCACCCTCTTCCCCCTACAATTGGGGGATGATCAGAGGGTGGCATCTTCACTGGCTTATGATTCACCTGCTTCTTTGAGAGCTGAACTGAGTGTCTGGGGAGGACAGGCGGTAGGGGAAATGGCTATGAGACAAGGACCTGAGAGCACGGGTGCCCTCAGTGAAAAAGGCACTGCCGGTGCAAACTAGTTAGCAGTGTGTACCCCCTCTGACCTCCCAGTGTGCTGGCTGCTCTTGTCATTTCCTTGGCTCAGTTCTTTACACTGGATTCTGGGACCCAGGACAATGGGCAGAGTTGTGGTTCCTCTATCAACCACTCGGCACGCAAGTCACTCCAGCAAACACCTTTCCCTCCGCCATCCTGCTAAAGGTCTCACTATCTTGCTTGTGGTAAGAACAAGTGCTGGTG